GGCTACATTTCCCTTGAAAATATCTTTGTTGCTACAAAGGCTGCCTCTTGCTCATATGCTGATCCCACTCTACAAATCATCAGAAAAGCACAGGAAGCTAGAGCCCAACTACATGTAACTGCTACTCATCTTCTTCCTCCAGATGCCATAGAGGCTTTTCCTACCTGACTGTATCCTTCTGAAAAGGAAGAGGACTCTAAAAGACAAATCCAGTTTAAAGAGCTGCATTTGACTCTGCCGATGTTTAGGGGTAGGCCTAGCTTGTTTTTACCACTTGAAGATCATCTTATATATTCTGATATAATTTCCACAAAGGCAGGGGCTTTTGTCTGTCTGCCCACTGGTTTAAGTCCAGTGACTAGAACATTACTAAGCATATAGTTAAGTGTTCAATAAATAATCACAAAACCAATGAGTAAACTTTATCAGAAGAAAACAATGTTACTGAAATAAACTCCACCGTGAATAACAAAGGCAATCTGAGGGATGCGTGCCAACAAAATGGATAGGTCCCTGGTACCACAGACCTAAAGAAACGGCCAATCCAGGGCCATGAAGCAAGCATGGAGTCTGCTCTACTATCAAATCCCCAAGCCAGGGGATTTGTCCGCCCTAATCCGTCCTCATGGAAAAGAATGGTTATTGGTCCACAGTCTAGCTAACCAGGGAGACTCAGCTGGGTGCTTTGCTAACAGAAGCACAAGTACTGCCTAATGATGCTTCCTTCCTCACATACTCTGATTTTAAAATCTAAGAACTCACTACCTCTCCTTTGATCCTCCTTCTTCCAGGTTTTCTAGATACCAAACCATGGCTTAGAGTCTTGTCACTCCATGCCTGAGGTGGCCACTTATCAGAACTGGTATGAGTTCCTAACAGAGCAGATGCTACCCTAATAGCCCCAGACACACTCTGGGCAACACAGCCCAGAGTCACAGAGCTTCTATTCTGGACTATTTATTACTCCAAAGATAAATCAGGGTATTATAAATGCTAACATTTATATAAGCACTTCAGCACTT